GGATCATGTTCGGATATTCTCGGATCGGTCTCGGATCGGTTCCGCATTGTAAATGGGGTTTCAACTGTTTTTCGTGCATGTGTGGACTGTAGGATCGTTCCCGCATTGTAAATGGGGTTGCAAGTGGTGCTGGTGGATGAGTTGCCGATGGAGTTTTGGAGGAAGTCTCGCACGAAATGCATCTTTGAGAGATAGCAGATGCACGAAACCTATGTTTTTCCATACAAAGTCCGTCCCCGAACCTCGATGATCTACCTTTGCGGCGGAAGTGATTTGTCAGCAGATTTTCTCCATTTTGGTGCTAGTGATTTTCCTTCTAAAAATCCTTTTAAAAAGTGCTTCAAAATCGTCTTTTTTTCGCTCTGGCGTCGAGATCCGGTTTTGGAGCTGCAATTTCCGACGCCATTGCGTGTAGTTCTATTGTGTTTTGCAACTCAGTCTCCGCAGATCGCATTGGAATGGCTGCGTCAAGGTTGCTTCTTGCTTTGGCTGCATGCGTAATGTCTCTTGCAGCTGGATCTCGTAAATCGTATTGGAGTGGCTGCATGAAGGCTGCGACAGTGATTTGTCAGCAGATTTTCTCCATTTTGGCGCTAGTGATTTTCCTTCTAAAAATCCTTTTAAAAAGTGCTTCAAAATCGTCTTTTTTTCGCTCTGGCGTCGAGATCCGGTTTTGGAGCTGCAATTTCCGACCCAGTTGCGCGTAGTTCTATTGTGTTTTGCAACTCAGTGACTGCAGATCGCATTGTAATGGCTGCGTCAAGGTTGCTTCCTGCTTTGGCTGCATTCGTAATACTATTGTCTTTTGCAGCTGGATCTCGTAAATCGTATTGGAGTGGCTGCATGAAGGCTGCGACAGTGATTTGTCAGCAGATTTTCTCCATTTTGGCGCTAGTAATTTTCCTTCGAAAAATCCTTTTAAAAAGTGCTTCAAAATCGTCTTTTTTTCGCTCTGGCGTCGAGATCCATCCGGTTTTGGAGCTGCAATTTCCGACCCAGTTGCGCGTAGTTCTATTGTGTTTTGCAACTCAGTCTCTGCAGATCGCATTGTAATGGCTGCGTCAAGGTTGCTTGGTGCCACGGCTGCATGCGCAATACTATTGTCTTTTGCAGCTGGACTTCGTAAATCGTATTGGAGTGGCTGCATGAAGGCTGCGACATTGATTTGTCAGCAGATTTTCTCCATTTTGGCGCTAGTGATTTTCCTTCTAAAAATCCTTTTAAAAAGTGCTTCAAAATCGTCTTTTTTTCGCTCTAGCGTCGAGATCCGGTTTTGGAGCTACAATTTCCGACGCCGTTGTGCGTAGTTCTATTGTGTTTTGCAACTCAGTCTCTGCAGATCGCATTGTAATGGCTGCGTCAAGGTTGCTTGGTGCCGCGGCTGCATGCGCAATACTATTGTCTTTTGCAACTGGACTTCGTAAATCGTATTGGAGTAGGTGCATCAAGGGTTCGACAGTGATTCGTAGTAGTGCTGGGAATTGATTAATGAAAGCTTAATAGATGACATATGAGAAGGGACGAAATGAGAAGAGATGAGCTGGGATAAGGTGAGAAGAGCTCAGATGAGATGAACTGTGGAGTGTGAAGAGTGTAGTGTGAAATGTGGGGCGTGAAGAGTGCAGTGTGACGTGTGAAGTGTGAAGTTTGGAGTGTGAAGGAAGCAGTGAGAAGTGAGAAGTGTGAAGTGAGAAGTGTGAAGTGTGGAGTGTGAAGTTTGGAGTGCAAAGAGTGCAGTGTGAAGTGTGGAGTGTGAAGAGTGCAGTGTGAAGTGTACAGTGTGAAGGAAGCAGTGGGAAGTGAGAAGTGTGAAGTGTGGAGTGTGAAGTTTAAGTTTGGAGTGCGAAGAGTGAGTGTGAAGTGTGAAGTGTGAGGTTTGGAGTGTGAAGGCAGCAGTGAGAAGTGAGAAGTGTGAAGTGTGGACTGTGAAGTGTGGAGTGTGAAGTGCGAAGTGAGAAGTGTGAAGTTTGGAGTGTGAAGGAAGCAGTGAGAAGTGTGAAGTGCGAAGTGAGAAGTGTGAAGTGTGAAGTTTGGAGTGTGAAGTTTGGAGTGGGAAGGAAGCAGTGAGAAGTGAGAAGTGTGAAGTGTGGACTGTGAAGTGTGGAGTGTGAAGTGCGAAGTGAGAAGTGTGAAGTGTGGACTGTGAAGGAAGCAGTGAGAAGTGAGAAGTGTGAAGTGAGAAGTGTGAAGTGTGGACTGTGCAGTGTGGAGTGCGAAGAGCGCAGTGTGAAGTGTGAAGTGTGAAGTGTGAGGTTTGGAGTGTGAAGGAAGCAGTGAGAAGTGTGAAGTGTGGGCTGTGAAGTGTGAAGTGTGAGTGAAGTGTGGAGTGTGAAGTGCGAAGTGAGAAGTGTGAAGTGTGAAGTTTGGAGTGTGAAGTTTGGAGTGGGAAGGAAGCAGTGAGAAGTGAGAAGTGTGAAGTGAGAAGTGTGAAGTGTGGACTGTGCAGTGTGGAGTGCGAAGAGCGCAGTGTGAAGTGTGAAGTGTGAAGTGTGAGGTTTGGAGTGTGAAGGAAGCAGTGAGAAGTGTGAAGTGTGAAATGTGGAGTGTGAAGTGTGAAGTGTGAAGTTTGGAGTGTGAAGGAAGCAGTGAGAAGTGAGAAGTGTGAAATGTGGAGTGTGAAGTGTGAAGTGTGAAGTGCGAAGTGAGAAGTGAGAAGTGTGGACTGTGAAGTGTGAAGTGTGAAGTGTGGACTGTGAAGTGTGAAGTGTGAAGTGTGGACTGTGAAGTGTGAAGTGTGCAGTGTGAAGTGTGAAGTGTGAGGTTTGGAGTGTAAAGGAAGCAGTGAGAAGTGAGAAGTGTGGAGTGTGAAGTGTGGAGTGTGAAGTTTGAAGTTTGGAGTGCGAAGAGTGCAGTGTGCAGTGTGAGGTGTGGAGTGTCGAGGGAAGGACACGGTCGGGACAGGGTGTGTTTGAACTATAGGTCATTTATGTTTGGGAAACTTCCGCCGCCGGCTTGCCCGGGTCTATGTTAGTCCCATTGTTATAGTGTTTCATAGTTGCCAATAATTACCAACTGGTGCAGGATTTTGTCCATTCACAGTTAGCTTTATCACAAACCCTTCTGGATCTGGCCAAGAATGGGGGATATCGGAATTTTTGCGGCAATGCGGATGGGGAAGCTGATGAACAACCATGCCATCTTGGCGTACTCTTCAAACCCAGAGAGTGGGGACGGCCATGGTCTGCAGCCATGTTTCTTTGCCAGAGTGCCATTCAGAATCCAAACAACTGGGCTTTGATCACATATCCGATGTAAAGAACGCTGCGTGAGAAAAATCATCGAGAATCAAATTGAATCTGCCCGAGAGGTTGAACCATGTGGTCCTCTTCGATCATTTGTGTGAACACTTTACCCACATATCATTCAATGATTCAACCTTCGAACCAATGATTTTGCCTGCTCAGTTTTGGCCGATTTTTGCCGCGCTCGGGAAACCCAAAAATTTGTAATGGTTTTAGTACTTGTTGCATACAAAAACTACTTCTTTCAACATGGTGAAAATCACGTAAATATTATAATTGCCAGTGCTTTTGCTAGGTGATGTCTAAAACACTGCAAATACCGTGGTTTTTGCTACCACTGGCACAAAACATCGCAAATACCGTGGTTTTTGGCTTCCGAGGCGCCAAAAACATTGGTATTTACGGTGTGTTGTGCTCCGATAGTTTTAAAAAAAAATGAAAACAGCACCTCTCTGACGATTTTTGAAGGCACACCAAAATGCGACAAAAAGATATGTGGTAAGATGGCTACAAGCTGCGGTATGCAGTGCGCATGAACAACACCAACACTCACACTACCAACAAAACCCTTATGGGGTCGCCGGTGTGAGAAGCTGTGCATTATGTATGTATGTATGTATGTATGTATGTATGTATGTATGTATGTAATGTATGTAATGTATGTATGGTATGTATGTATGTATGTATGTATGTATGTATGTATGTATGCATGTATGTATGTATGTATGCCTGTATGTCTGTATGTCTGTATGTCTGTATGTCTGTATGTCTGTATGTCTGTCTGTCTGTATGTATGTATGTATGCATGGATGGATGGGTGGATGTATGTATGTATGTCTGTGTGTGTGTCTGTATCTATCTATCTATCTATCTAACTATCTATCTATCTATCTATATCTATCTATTATCTATCTATCTATCTATCTATCTATCTATCTGTCTATCTATCTATCTATCTATGTATGTATGTATGTGTGTGTGTCTGTGTGTCTGTGTGTATGTGTGTATGTGTGTATGTGTGCATGGTTGTGTATGGTTGTGTATGTATGGTTGTGTATGTATGGTTGTGTATGTATGATTATGTATGTATGATTATGTATGTATGATTATGTATGTATGATTATGTATGTATGATTATGAATGTATGATTATGAATGTATGATTATGTATGTATGGTTATGTATGTATGGTTATGATGTATGTATGGTTATGATGTATGTATGATTATGTATGCATGATTATGTATGTATGATTACGTATGTATGATTATGTGTGTATGATTACGTATGTATGATCATGTATGTATTATTATGCATGTATGACTATGTATGTATGATTATGTATGTGTGATTATGTATTTATGATTATGTATGTATTATTATGTTTGTATGATTATGTATGACTATGTATGGATGGATGGATGGATGGATGGATGGATAGATGGATGGAGGTAGGTAGGTAGGTGGGTAGGTTAGGTAGGTTAGGTAGGTTAGGTAGGTTAGGTAGGTTAGGTAGGTAAGGTAGGTAGGCAGGTAGGTAGGTATATAGGTAGGTATATAGGTAGGTAGGTAGGTAGGTAGGTAGATAGGTAGGTAGGTAGGTAGGTAGGTATGTCCTTACGTATGTCCTTATGTATGTCCTTATGTATGTATGTCTTCATGTAACGTATGTGTTTATGTGTTCATGTCTTTTTGTCTTTTTGTCTTTATGTACCCGCTTTTCCTTAGTTAAACGACCCTGAATAGAACATGATCTCTCCTGGATGGCTTGCACCAAGGATGCAGGCTTGAGCACGAAGGTGTCCTGTGCCATGCTCCCACAAGTGTTGGAGGTGGGACAAGTGGGGAATGATCGTCCAATATTAGCAGAATAAGCTTAGGGTAGCCCAAAAAAATAAACAATCAATGATTTATCACTGTGTTAGAAAAACAAATGGTTCTATCTTTTCGAGAGTTGCGTATTACTGCAGATGTGATAATCATGGTTTTATAGGGGGCTTTTTAATACTCCGAGAAAAATATGTGCCAATCGGTGACCAATTGTCCACAGAAATGGCCACGATGATTGTTCGCAGCGCTGCAGTATTTGCCATGTCAGCTGCTAAGCAAAAAATCGTCTGAGAGTCTATATGTAAGTGTGAAATTTGGAAAAAATTGGCTTTCCTGGTTCTCCACCCAAACATGTGGCCAAGGATTTCAACGATTTTTTGGAGGTTTTCCAATGGATAATCAAGGCTTTGTTAACCATGAAAAACCCTGAGATTACAGATGGTTGATCCATGTTGGGCCTTTCCACTACGAGTAATCACCCCCCGGGATAAGATCGAAAACCAGTCTTTTTTTCCCGACACGTTATAGGAGATATTGATGCACATTTATTTCATGCTTTGCAGGTGTCCAACCTAGCCAGCGTTTCATCAGCTCATGTCTCAGCACTAAAGAGAGTGGACAGAACCAGGCTTCCCCGCGTTGAATTGCAAGCTGCAGACGGTGGTGGTATGCTGGAAGTTCATAAACCTGAAAATAGCCGGTATAGGTGCGTCTGACACTGTGCATATATTCGTGCGCTAATATATTCACATATACCCCCCGAACTATCCCAGAAATATCCCATCGTTGCATTTTGATGCGGAAAATGATCATAGACTCTATAGTGGACTTTAGGACACCCTACGTTCAACGAACTGAACGGAGGCGCTCAAACCACCATGGCTCAAGTTTTTTCCACACTCCCCCATGCTTGGCCTAGCTAAAGCCATAGATATATTGAGGTTTGCATCATGGTACATCATGACCATCATGCTATTCAAATCCCCACGGCTGGCCAGAAACAAAAAACTTGAAGAGGAGATCAACGAAGAGAAAGACATGGCCCACTTCGCAAATCCAGTCGTTTCACCATGGAGGTGAAGAAACTCCCGATCTTCATATTTTTCTATGTTTATCATGGTGATATCATGGTGAGTCAATTAGGCCACAGATTTTTTGCTTGCTTCCCGTGGACAATCTTAGATACCCAGTTAGCCAGCAACAAAAAATGTTCAGGGTAGTACATGTCCAGTTAAATCTATGGCAAGAGATGCATCCTCCAGAAATCAAACATGGATTGATTAAGACCTCCGTTTAGTGCGGGGATGTTCCATTGCTACGTTTGATTACCGACCACTACCGACCTACTTTCCACCGGTAGGTTTGCCCCAGCTACTCGATCTATCACTTAGTTTTTTAATGTTATCCCCTGGTTGTTTCCTTTTATGTCCCTTTTGTTACTGCTTACACCTCCCAATGTTGATTACTTAATTGCTGCTTATAGCCTCAAAAAAATACATTATAGAAACCTTTTTTTGGCCATGCCAGCGGAAAACCACTTTCCAAGCTGTAAGTGGCAAAGATAACAGATCTGATAAGCCCTTAATCTAGCTGGGAACCTTCCGCAGTTTTTTTTGTTAATTAATGGTGGTGTAGGAATTGTGTCCACTATCCGCACTTATAGCAGCTATACCTCCCTAGCTTTTTGTTGATGAGATCACCATTTTGGTGGAGAATGATCCCCATTGTGCTTATTAAATCCCATTAAAACCCACTTAATCCCATTGCATGGCAATTACATCCTATTACATAAACCGAATGAAATTCCATTAAATTCCTGCAAATCCCTTAAAACATCCTATAAATTCCATTAAAAGATCCTAGCAACATCCATTGTAAATTCCATCGGAAAATCATTCCCATGGTTCCCACCCTTTAATCCGAGCGGGGGAATCCCCAGCACCGCCCCCGACAAAGTAACAGGGCGATCTCGGACCAGAAGGTATGATCCTGTTGGCAGTTTCATGCTCATCCCATGTATAAATGGCACTAGATTCAATGGTTAACTAGGGTTTATGGCAGATACATCTGTGATCTAAAGGAGTTCATAAACCAACTTATAACTGGGGGTCCACACCTTGTAGATATGTGTGTAGCTGACGGGATTATAAAAGAAAAAACATGTCACTCTAACCTGGTTTATTGCTAGGATGACTATCCAGGGTTTGTGGTAGATATATGGTGGTTTCCTAAGATAGGGGTACCCCAAATCATCCAAGTCATGGATGACCATGACTTAGTATTGAAACAACCATGGTGACTTGGGGTACCGCATTTTAGGTTAAACCTCCATATCATGTAATACATTACATATATATATATCGGACAACAGTGAATAGGCTGTACAAACCCACAAACACAAGCTTGGGGGCTCCCACAAAACGTATGACCTGGCAATTGAAGCTTGACGACCCGGCAATCCCTGGTGTAACAATAGAATTTATGATTTGGCGATGAGTCTAAACCCCTAGATACCCTGATGGTCCCCAAAGTCAGAGCTGGTTTATGGAGGTTTATTCCTCCAAATATGGCAATTTAATAGATTTGCACCCATCCCCATTAAATTCAGAATAGGGATGATTCTACAATAAATTGATAGTTTTATTGGAGAATCAATGATAGTTGATCAAACATGGCATTGCTGAAAAAAAAAAACATGTGCAGATGATTTTCCAAGCTACCCTCTGGTAAACTAACGTAACTATGGAAAATCACCATTTTTAATGGGTAAATCCACTCTAAATGGCCATTTTCAATAATTAGCTATGTTAGTTTCTCTCTCTCCATCGCCATCTCAGGAGATCAGCTATGTTAGTTTACCAGAGGGTATTTTCCAAGCTATGGGGCCCCATGGAAATCTCGGTGCTTCCCCCTGGGCCACGGTTCCGTTTGATGGAAGTTGGAGATCTCGTCGTCCGTCTGCTCCTGAGAAGGGTGAGAAAAACCAGTGAAAAAACTGGACGTTGTAGCTGGTGATTGTTGGCATTCATACCAATAATAGCAATAATAGTACAGTATATATTGGTTTAGTATGGTTTAGTAACAATTGATACCAAGAAATCAATTCCATCCCATCTCCCCAATATGAAATACCCCAAATGTTGGGGACCCAAAAAAAAGAATAGATCAAGTACATTTCACCATGATTTCGTTCGAGAAGCATTTGAACTGGGATTCTTGTACATTTCACCCTGCTTAGTATGTCCCCGAAGTGGCTTCTCCCATATAAATATCCTACAACTTGCGTAGCAAGCGCTGGGGATGGGCCTTGCGGCCAAGCAGTCCGTAGTACTGTGGGGGAGAGATATCAAGTCAAGCCAATGCCATAAACCATCCCAATAACCAACTGGTTGGTGGTTTTAACCATCTTGAAAAATATGAAAATCTATGGAAATCTATGGTTAATGGAAAATCTATGATTAATGGAAAACTGCTTGGTGGTGCCACCAAACCATCTTAAAAAATGATGGAGTTCGTCAATGGGAAGGATTATATATCCCATATATATTATGGAAAATAAAATTCATTTGAGAGGAACCACCAACCAATCATACCAATCATTTGGATAGCCCAAAAGCTACCCACCCACCAATCACAACAAAAAGTCGGGGCGACCACTTTGGAGGTCATAAATCCCAGGGGATGCTGACAGGGTTGCTCCCAACAGCGCACAAGGGTGGTTAATTGCCGAAATATCATATAGAGGCAAATCATGTTTTGTTTTACCCCCCTGGCTATCATTTACCTGTAGTTTCGCTGTTTCGCAACCCTGCAGAAGAATCATCCCAAATGTTACCATAATGGGGTGGAAGAATCATCCCTTAAAACATGGATGGTTTATGACATTGCTTTACTGACATTACCCCTCGGTACTCAGCTCCATGACTTGCTGGAAATCCACCATTTAGTGAACGTTGAGTTTCCCAGCGAACGAAACCTCCATTTTTAGTGCAGGGGATTTTCCATTGCTACGTGTGATGACCGACCACTACCGACCTACTTTCCACCGGTTGGTCCTTTATGATTGCTGGTGGATATCACCAAAAAAATGTGGGTGATAAGACATGATAAGACAAGTTACCCTCTGGTAAATTAACATAGCAATGGAAAATCACCACCTTTAATAGGTAAATCAACTATTTCTATGGGCCATTTTCAGTAGCAAACTGTTAACATAACCAGAGGGTATCAGTGATATCAGGTAAACACCCCAGCTGGGTGGTGGTTTCAACCCCTCTGAAAAATATGACTTCGTCAGTCGGGATGACTCTTCCCAACATATGGAAAAATAAAACATGTTCCAAACCACCAACCAGATAATAGTTGGACTATAGTTGGTTTGATTATGAGTATTATGGTTCTCTGCTGGTTAATTACTATATATTTATCCATATTTTATAGTTATGGTGAGGTTTATTGTTAAATGATATACCCTCTGGTAAACTAACATAACAATGGTTTAAATCGTTTCATGGGGTAAATCCACTATAAATCACCATTTTCAATAGCTTTTTGTATGTCATAACCAGAGGTGAAATCAACCAGCCACCCCGGGCAGCCCCGGGGCACCTGGTAATGTCCAGGCCCCAAGATGTACATCCCCGCGCCCTCGCTGAAGCGTGCGAAGATCACCTCGTTGTCCTTTTTGGGCGATGCCGGAGGATGGGGATGACAGTAGAGCCAATAAATAACAATAACAATAATAATAATAATCATCACCATCATCACCATCATCACCATCAGTCATCATAGACATAATCATCATCATAGACATAATCATAATACTAATAATATGCTTAGATTGTAATAATTCATTAACCTGAAATGTTTGGTAATTATTTTTGAGATGATTCAGAGGATAGGGCTATATGAATGCGAATCATGAGCAATAACTAAGTGATAACCTAATGATGAGCAACCCCAAAATAGATGCAAAAGTGGGAAACCTCGAAAAATATGGTTGGTATTTTTCTTGTCAACAACCATCCTGGAAACAAGATCGTTCTATATATCTTTTTGGGGGTTCCTTCCTGAGAAAATGGCCGAGAAAATGGTCGGCAAATGATGAGATCAAACACAGGACCCGCAGATTTCGCGTTAAACTGTTAATATATGGTTAATATACTGTTAATAATGGTTAATATATGGTTATTATATGGTTAATGATGGTTAATAACCTGGTGGGTGGTTGACCTACCCCTCTGAAAAATATGACTGAAAGTCAGTTGGGATTATGAAATTCCCAACTGAATGGAAAAATAAAACATGTTCAAAACCACCAACCAGATCCAATTTGGGTGCAAGTCATTTTGAGACATTCCCATACCACCCAAGACACAGGTGCGGACACGCCAAACACCAAGTTAGGGAAATGATGTCTCAAAAATGCGAGGAGAAGAAGATCAAACACCGAACCAAATGAGCCTCCAAAAATCGCGGAGTCAAACCACTAACCCCTCTCCAGAAGAAAGCCTTGCTTATGATCTGGTAGATCTGTTCATTTCATGAGTTTTCGGGGATATCATAGCTGAACTTACAGGTCTCCAACTATCCCAACTCTGCTACTTGTAGTTATTTCTGGGCCGACCAACCTTATCTTGGCCCTTAACATAGGACACTCATGGACTCACGGTCAATGAAACATGGCTAAAAAACCCAGGACGCTCTCCCACCCATCCTCAAAAACATTGAGCTGAAGCAGGCCGCACAAACGGGTGAAAGCCTGGCTCTGTGGCAAAAAAAAGAAATTGGATGGTGTAGAAATGTGCAAATAAAATGTTTACTGGAAAATTTGGGGGAAAAGAACTAGGTTTGATGGCACCCGGCCACATCATCCCTATCCTTTTGGAATCGGGCTATTTCCATGACTGCCCTTTGTCTTTACCACGGGCCAGCAGCAGGGACTGTTCTGCTCTAGCGAGCCAAGGTAACCGCACGTCGGCTGTGTGACTTGCCAGGGGCCCGTGGACCAGTCGTCTTGACCGCCACCAACCCGGACCCCACTTTTGATGTCCAACATAGGGGTATTATCACCATCTATGAACCATTGGTTTGCCACATTAATCAACCAAATATTCACCATTGGTTTACCACATTCTTAACCGCTATTAACCATTATTAACCATGATTAACCATTAACCATCTATTAACCATTATTAACCACTATTAACCATTATTAACCACTATTAACCAGTATTAACCATCTATTAACCAGTATTAACCATCTATTAACCATTATTAACCACTATTAACCAGTATTAACCATCTATTAACCAGTATTAACCATCTATTAACCATTATGAACCACTATTAACCAGTATTGACCATCTATTAACCATTATGAACCACTATTAACCAATTAACCATCTATTAACCATTATGAACCACTATTACATTCTATTTTATAACCTTTGGTTTTACCATTGGTTTTACCATCGAACCAGTAGAACCCACCGGAATCCACCGGAATCCACCAACCATCGGTCGCTCATGCCGCTTTGGGCGCGCTGAGTTCTACCACCTCTGCAGCACTCGGCAGGTCCCCAGACCTACAGAGGCGCACCTGGCGAGGCGGTGCGCCATCGAAACGTGTCCGGACACGTCCTGGAAAAATTTCGGTGGAAACATGGGACAAAAACCATCAAAAACCAGGGGATTTCCCCTGGAAACTCATGGAAAAAACCATCGAAAATCGGAAAGACATGGAAAATCAACGGACAAACCCAGAGTTGGCGGCCAAAGAGGTCGCGAAGGATCCCTACTTTCTCTCCACCTACTGAGCTCAGTTGGTTTATATCTCCAATTTCACTCTTGGCTTTCTGGTAGGTAATGGCGGACATTTTTATAGGCATATATATATAGATAGATAATGATAGATAGATAGATAATTATATATATATATATCGAAAAAATGGAGGTTGTAACTGAGTTCCGTGACTGTTAGATTAGCAGAGGCTATGAATCAATAGCCCATTAGTACCCATCCGCCTTATTCTATCATAATTATATCCCGTTCATATGTTAGATTCCCATATATCATGGCAGCCCCACGGCCGAGGGAAGTCCAGGCACTTCGTTGACTTTGCCCAGCAACGCCTCCTTGGCCAATTCTGAGACGTAGAAAAACTTGGTCGTCGCATATTGCTGAAACAAATGCAGTATACTCATTTCATTATATTCAGCCTTCTTCGGCTTAACTTTGGTTTAACCTCATTTAAGCACAACCATTACTGAGTAACCGTGGTTACTGGCGTTTGCTTTGGCAGATTATTGCACCAGTTTCCCATATTTCGCAGGTTGCACCCCCTTATAATTCACAGGTGATACCCCCCCAAATACTGCATGTGCCCTGCATCAACCAATTTTCTTTGGATCTTTATAATCCAATAATCCATAAGTTGCCCACAATAACCCATAAGAATCCAGTCCCGTTGCCAAGCTCTTATGTTCTGGATTGCATCTGATTTCCATGAAATAAACCAATCTCAGATTTTCTGTTCTTTGGATCTTTGGGTTGTTACCCCCGTTAGCTCACTATATGCTCAGTATTTTCATTGTATTCACATTTAATAATGGTTGCTTTTTCTCCATCATTGTTGCTGATGATTTCCCTATTCAAACCTGCCCAAAAAAAAAAACATACTTCAAAAAAAAACATGTTTCTGTTGGTTTATTGATAAAAACCCACATTCAATCCTCATTCAACCCCACTATATAAACCCCTACTAAACATCCATAAAATCACCATGAAATCCCCTATAAACCACCATAAACTCCACATCTTCCCTTCTTCGGATCGCTCGTTGAACGCCCAGCCACGACGACCTCCTTTTCGCTGTCCAAATGCACTGAGGGCTGCAACTGCCGCACCATGGAACCGCGTCTGCCAAACGGGGAAGCAATTCTGATGTTTTGGTGTAATGGTGGAAAAATTAGAGGACGAAATATCAGTAATAGAGTTTTATTACTTTTGTTGATATAGGTAATGTAAATGTTAAAGACATATAAGAATGATTTGGTGGTTCCAAAAAAAATGTGGAACATTTGGGGAACATATAGAAATATAGAAATTTAGGAAGGTTAATCCAAACAAAAATGAGATATGAATAAAAGCCCCAGTGATGTCAATCTTGGTCGGAAATGGTGGGAGATTTTCCTGGGGATTAACACAGGAAGGACCCTGTAAGCTGACTTAGAACTAGGCTAACTAGGATTTATACTGGATGTATCCGTAGCATTCCGTAGCCTTGCATACCCCCACCCGCGACCCAAGTCATGAACAGATTCAATACCAAACCATGGTTTCAAAGGGAGTATTTAATACTCACAGGCATCTCTAGCATTTTCCATGAATCTTGAATGCCAAAAGAATCAGCTGGTTGGTATAAATAGTCCGTTTGCAAAAGATCAAAGTCCCATTTTTCATGGTTTTTCCCTAGGTTTTTCTATGTTTTTCATGGTTTTTCCCTCGGTTTTTCTATGGTTCTCCCGTTTAAAAGTCCTGGGGGTTTCACCCCTGGCTTTTCTCCCCGGTTGGCGTATGCCACCCTGCCAAGGTGGAGGAGAACATCACCCGGTGCCGCCTCGGCGGAGCGTCGGAGCTGGTCCCAATGGGATCAACATGAATCAAAGAAAATAGCTATAGAAAATTAGAAAATCACCATGAAAATCATAGGTAAACCATGTTTTTTATGGTTTTTTCATATAAACCATGGTGATTTTTTCATCCTTACGTTGATTAACCAGAGGGTATGGGTAAATCCACTATAAATCAATGGGAGATCTCCAGGATCCTAAAATGGAGGTACGTTAGTACCATATTTTTGGCCATATTTTGGGATATTCCCTGAAATTTAGGCCTGAAAAATAGGCCTTATATATGGTAGGTACCTCCAATAAATCGGTTCCTGGAATGGCCATTGAAGAAAATCACCATGAAAATCATAGGTAAACCAGGTTTTTACATAGCTAAACCATCTATGAATCTATGGGATATTTCTATGGGATATACTCTCTGGTGACTGTTACATAGCTTTTTTTTTAGCCATGGCCCATTGTGAAAAAACGTGGATTTAGTCGAATCTAAGGCGCTGGAGCAGGGGGCCCGGGAGTCCCACCATAACTATTGAGGTCTATGATTTTGAGGATCTTTAAATATCTTGAATACTGATTCCTATCTGATCATTAGATGTAATTAGTAATATCTAACCTCATTACTGAGAACCATAACTATTGGGTTCTTGAAGTTCTATAATTAGATCTTTTTAAGTCTTTAGTAATTCGGTTTCTCCAAATTGGTCGAAAAAAAGACCATCCGACCATCCCATGAGCCCCGCGGAGTTCGAGGTGCTTTAAGCCAGCCTCAAAGGCTCCAATGGACGCTAGAACTTCCAGGGTGCGCTCTTCGCCTCAGGTGCTATGGAAAATCGCCAAGTTTAGGTAAATCTTCTATGTAAATCATCTAAATCATCAATAAATGGACCGTTTTCTATAACTATTCTTAGTTTACTGGAAGGTAGTATAGATCTATATTCACAATGTGTGGTCCCATAGTTGGTTAAGTTGTTGGTCTACTCTACAACTCTAAGAACTAGGCTTTATGGATCTTTATGGTAGATTCATATCCTGATATCTCGAACCAGCCAATGGAGGTTATAGACTGCAGATGTGTTTTGATGTTTGGAGTACGAATGCCCCCATTTGCGCTGGAAATGGAAGGTGGATCATGATTTGTGGCCATCCTGTACCTTCCACACGATGCTACGTGAGGACATCCTATTCCCCCCATAGCAATACTACAAATCAACAAGGGTTGGTTCCCAACTCAGAAAAATTACGAATCCTAGATACACTCTGGTGTCATCAAACGTGGTTCGCTGGGAAATCTCCTAAATGACTATAGCTGGGAAATTCATCAAAGTAAACGGTGGAGCTTCCAGCTGGCCAAGTTTCATTGAATAAACATTAACATAGACCTCTGCAATGATATTAGGACTCTCGGGGCAATATTCGGAGGTTTCCCATTGACATTAAGATGGGGGGTACCCATTTTAATCATCCGTAATTTGTCAATATTTGTCATAGGATCTTCGAAATAAACCAACCATTCTTGGGATTTTCCATGGATTTTCCAGGGGTATCCCCCATGACTATGGAACCCCCCCCTGGTTGCGTTGTTGCTCCATCAAGGCACTCTGATCCGTCTCCAGGGTGAAGGTGTAAACCTCGCAGAGACGACCTGGATCTGCTGAAAACGTCATGCCAGTGCCACGACGTAGCGATGACGGGTGGTGATGGGTGGTGATGGGTGGTGATGGGTGGTGATGGGCGTCATAAGAGTCACAACCTATTGTTACACCAATAATATCTAATGGTGGCATATAATAAACCTACTAATAATAGTGATAGACCTGTTGTAACCGGGCGATTTTTTGTGTTTCACCATGGAATACTGTGAAAAACTCTATGAACATGGCCTTAAAGATGGGTATAGCGATAACCAATCAACCTTTCCAATGGGGTTTGAACATATCCCTATGAAAACGGCGAAGCAAAGAACCACCCATCAACCGAGAGCTGACCAGGGTTTTCTGGAGCAACAAAGAACCAGCATGTTCTCAGGTGTTTCAGGCATCTAGGCAAAGTATCCCCAGCAAATAAGTCCACATCTTAAAAATCTAGGCCATGTCAAGAATTCTTCGCAGACGTCGAACGAATTTCCCAGCTCTGGTCGCGGCAAAGCTCAAGAAAGCGCTCCGCCGCCGCATCTGCAGCTCCCTGTAGGATGCCATCCAAAGAGATGCTGACCTGGCCAAGATATAACCTGGCCATTGATATGTTCTCATGGCTGGATCTAATTATTGATTATGCACACATTTATATATTTATATAGACATATCCCATAGACATAGCTGGTTGTATATGATTATAGTCTGCTTAATTCACTCATGTAGGCAACATGTAAGTAGGTTGTGGTAGTTGCAACGACCTAATCATCCAGCTATTATTGGGAGATCAACCACAATTATGTATGTATGAATGGGAAACATGGCGATGTCTATACAATGATGTTAAACGGAGAATAGCCATAATTAATGTATACACAACTGGCTGGTATTATATATATACAGTACAACTACCCATGACTTATAGCATGCTGCTCTGTTCATATAGTTTGTACATGGTGTGTATATATATATATATAGAATCATATACATATACACTTACAATAAAACTGTAGATGTTGCAGTGCATACGCATATATTTATATAACTTGGAATGATATTCCAATAATATAACTGGGAATGGGAATAGCCAGTTGTATATCCAGCTATATGCCATTGGTCACTTCATAGAGGAAATGTGTTCAGAATGTGTTCAGAACCCAGGTGCAGAGTTGGTTCTTTCCGTCAAGGAAAACATAGGTAACGAACCAGCAAGTGTTATTTGGGAATTATTTTGGTATGGTTCAAACTGTGCTTAATCATCATCATCATCATCATCATCATCCTCATCCTCATCATCATCATCATCATCATCCTCATCCTCATCCTCATCCTCATCCTCCCACAGTTTTCCCCATGAAAACTTGCCATTTCGGCTGGTTCCCATTTTCCGACCCCCATGGGAGCCCTCACCGTGGCCCGCTGTTTCGGGCGTTTGGGGCTGGACGTGCAGCTCTTCGAGAGCAGCAGGAGCAATCCAGCGACCAACGCTAGGATGGTCCAAATGATGTACGGGGCCTTGGGGAGAGGAGATTTGTGTGGCCTTTTGGGGGGGGAACTCAGTGACTGGAGACTTGTGAAAGGTCGGGATAAACCCAACAGTTCTGCTAAGAAATCGAATAAGAAAGCAACTTAGCTACTGGAGCATGACATTGCACAAATATTCCAGCAGATTATTCCCAAACCTAGTGGCTTAACGAGAACATCTTCAGCACATCTGAGTTTCGAGTGGATCGGGGATGGGTGAGTCAACGGAAATGTGATGCTAGCAAAAAGTGAGTCAACGCGGTTTACGTTACAGGGTGCTAGAATTTTACTAAGCCAACTCAGACAGAAACCATCAGAAACCTACCAAACTGCAAAAATAAGCCGACAAAAGAGGCAGAAAAACTATATAGGACAATCAGATTTTCCGATTCCTCAGTGAATGAGCCATGGGCTGTGGTGGCTATGAGTATTGAGGCTTATCAACCATGGTTTTTAACCATCTGATGTTCATCCTTGGATCCGTTCGCACCGGCCGTGTTTTTTCGCGCCGGGACACATTCTTCTTGTAGAGTGTCGCCAAGTCAGCCATTGCGCTGTGATCCGTTGGCGTTCGGCGTCGGGCGTTGTAACTTTCAGATACTTCCCAGTGAGGCCAGTATCACATGCCCGCAGAAATCCCATTTCTGGTGGTCAAAATTGGGTAGCCCTAAAAATGGATGGTTTATACATGTTACCCTCTGGTTATTCAACAGTTTGCCATGGAAAGATCCATCCATTTTTAAGTTCGGTAAACCATGGTAAACCATCTATTTCGATTAGGGCCATCGAAAAATCATGGCTATGTAACAAATAACCAGAGGGTATATCCCATTAATATCCCATTGCATCACTATAAAATCCCATTAATATTCCATTAAATCCCATTAATATCCCATTTATAGATGGTAACCATAGACTAAGCCATCTGTGATCCCCTTTTTGTCCCTGGTGTCGTGTTGAGCAAAAACAGCCACCAATGATGCCGACCGTGGTCGGCACGGTGACCACAATGCCCCACAATGCCCCACAATGCCGCACAATCCACACACACAGATAGTATATATATATGTATACTCATAATATGTATATATATATATATGTATAATCATATGTAATAACTATATATATATGCACTAATAATGATACATGTTACAATTAAATGATTGTAAACCACATGAATTGCTAGTGTCAATGGCCTTGGGCGAGATCATCTCCATGAAGCCGTACATCTGGTGCTTTCGCAGGATGGGCCCCCGCCGGTCCATGTGGAGCCTCGGATGTTTCATGGGGATGTCATGGTGATTTGTATGATATGTTTGTGGGATTTTAATGGATTTTTATGATAGTTTATGGTGATTCATAGGGATTTCACCAAGAAAACATTGGAATATAAGTCATGTGTTACAGTTTGCTATGGTGTAGACGGCCCATTTAGGTCGATTAAAATAGTGATTATCCATAGCATAGGTGTGTTAAATTACCATCCAGGAGTCTGCTGCCTGGATGAGTCGCGATGTCGCTCCTTGAAACTTTTCAGTGGCTAGACCTCATCGGAAGATAGGCAACCAATTCAATGGTTAACCCTCATTTTACCATTCTTTTACCATGATTTTACCATGGATGTGGACTATTTTACTATAAAATATTACGATAAATGACCATTTCACACAGGTAAAAAAAAAAACATGTTCAAACAACGCGCCCTTTGTGGATTGGCCGAAATCGGAACATCCCTGGGATCCCGTGGATCCCGTGGAACCCGTGGATCGCCCAGGCACTCATTGATCAGGTTGGAGGACAAGAGCGACGTGTCCAAGGGAGCTGCCTCTCCGTGGCGGTGGAAAAATTTCCGGTGGATTTTCGGTGGATTTTCCCAGGTTTTTTGGCACCAAAAATCCACCATCACCATCCGTTCTCTTGGGTTTTTTTCATGATTTGTTCTAGAATTGCTCTCCATGTTCCCATCTTTTACAGGTATTTTTCATGCATTTTCCCATGTTGAACGGATTTGTTTCCACCGTTGTCCCATCATCAACGCACCAAGCACCAACCTTCACGACTCCCGCGTGGCGCGCTCAGCGCGCTCAGCGCTGCGCGCCTTGTGACGTCCCAAACTGTGATCCACGAAGCGCATGACGCGGATGCAAAGGTGCATGCTGATCCTGGTGGGGAATACCCGGCCACAGTTTGCAATGGAAAATCCCGGAGCTGCTGGAAATTCCCGAACTCGAGGTTTACAGCTGGGGAAAACATCCATAAAATGGTGGATTTTCCAGCAAGCTATCTTTGATAATGGCATGATTACTAAGGGAACACGTGGTTTAATATTAGTGGGTTTACATAATAGGTTTTCTGGTGATTTTCCATGGTTATGGTAATATATAGCAACTTGCAAGAAAGAATTTTTCAGGTGTCCAACGGTTCTATCCGTTTGGGGACTGTTTTATGTTGCCATAACATACTGCAATCGCATTGCCCTGATATTAGAAGGGTAGATTATAGCTTGTTGTTGATGGTTATTCTACATATATTGGATCATGTGGGTATGGGTCTTTACAAGGATGAGATAGTAGTGTCCTTTTTTATAATGGGGCGAAAGCGTACTCTTATATAACTCTATATATATGTGTGTGTGTGTTCATAGCGTGATAAATAAGGATTTTAAAAAAAAATCATTAAATCAATGATCGTCATATTGTGATGGCATATTTTTTTACAGACAACAAAGTTGCAGGAAACCAACCTGACCGGTGAAAACCTGGTGCGGTTTTCAGTATGGTGGATATCTCAAGCTACGATCCGTGAGATGGTTGGGGTGACTCCTACCGACTTTTCAACGAGGGCCCCAGGTGATTCTATGGGCCCTATGGGCCCTTTGAGGTGTTCTTCATTTGATGTTCACCCCTAGAAAAGCCCAAGAACCAGCTGCTGTGATGGGCCCTCTCCCAACACTTGGGGCCATGGGGTTTCTTCAGTACGCCCAATTCCTAGATTTCCTAGGCTTCTAAATACCAGATCTGGTTGGTGGTTGACCTACCCCTCTGAAAAATATTAGTCAGTTGCGATGATTATTCTCAATATATGGGAAAATAAAATTGATGTTCCAAACCACCAGCCAGAGATGGAATGCTTCCTCACCCAACCCGGGCATCCCATGGAGATCAGCCCCAGGCACTTGTTCATCTTCAGATACATGGCCACGGACCTCTTCCTGTCACTGACCTGTCGACAGAAGACCTGATTTTTCAAAATTCAACAGGAATTCCAATCAACTAAAGATATTGGATATTATATCCTCCATAATAAGGATTAAAATATGATATAGAGGATGTAACTATATTATCATCCGGGGGTAGTTGACATTTTTGGGGAAAAAGGATGAATGATGTCAATCCCGAAGCAAACTTGATTCAAGGAGTCCCCTTCAACCCCTTGAAGTCAAACATTTTGGGATCTCGGCCCCGCCTCGGAGTTCAGCTTGATCACTTGCTGAATGGTGGCACTGACGCGGCTGATGCAGCTACCTGGGCTAGACATGAAATCCATTCCCAAGAGCTGGGGATTGGTGGGAACCTCTGGTAAACTAACATAACTATGGAGTCTCACCATTTTTAATGGATAAATCACCATTTTCAAGAGCTATGTTAAATTACCAGAGGGTAACCTTTATTATGGTTTTACATGGTTTTAAAGTTTAACTCTGCCAACATCCCCTGGGATTGTCCCCACTGGCCAATCGAGAATCCCTCATCCTAAGTGTCAACTTCGAAACTCATTTTGAAATAATTGATATGGGTCAAAAGCCGGGTGCCCAACCCCAAAATACATCAAAATACCATATTTCACCAGCATTCATGGCCACTGATCCCTAGATCCTTCGTGAATTCTTCGAAAAAATTAATGGGATTCCCATGGATTCCCGCCACGGCACCCACCACCAGTAAGGAGAAGAAGATCACGAAGAGGTTGTAGCCGCGCTCCGAGGTGTTCATCGCCTCGGGAAGGCTGCGGTCAAAGTCGAGGATCCAACAGGAAAAGCCCACCTACCCAGAGATGTTTGCCCTGTTGTCCCAAATGTCCACGAGAAATGTCATAATATGTTTTTGCAATATATCCCATTATATCACAAATTTATGTATATACTCGATATATGGTGTGTGTGTGTGTGTTTGCCAATGAACACCCATTAAGTCCCTATCAAAATCAACCGAACAAAAAATCAGCTGCGTAATCCTCATCAACTCTCCATTCAAATTCAAAAGAAAGAACATGACGATTAGCTGATCCACACTAAATCTCAATTAAATCTCAATTTAAAGCCCATGAATTTTCCTCAAAATCCCCTTAAACATCCTTAAACCATATAAATCCCATTGAAATTGCTTCAGGAACCCCAACATAAAACATATATTAGTATCTTAGTCAATTCCCCATTTCTAGTGGATTTTCCCCTTGTATTAAATAAAAATCCATTCAGAAGCCATTAAAATCCTGTTAAAATCCACTCAAGTCCATTAAGAACCCATTAAAATCCATAAAAAACCATTAATTCATTAGAAAAAACGGTAAAATCCATTAAAATCCATAAAAAAATCCATTAATTCATTTAAAAAAAAAACATTAAAATCCATTAAAATCCCATATGAAATCCCCTGGTTTTTCGAAATCGCCAAGCCGCATGAATGCTGCTGGGTGCCGGGGTGAACTGTCCTAGGATCCAATGACAACTCGCCAGGTACCTAGGGGCGGAGTGTTGGTTGGAACAGCCCATAGATGTTGTGCTTGGGATTTTTTAATAATGTGGACTCCAACCAACCATGAAAAAAATCATCATTATGCTTCATGCTTTTTGGTTTGATGGCTTATTAGATGTTGATTTAATGATGATGTTTCATGGTTTGACAATGGCTTAATGGTGATGGGATGATAATGGGATTTACCCTCTGTTAATAGTGGTTAATAGTGTTTATATAATAGTGTTTAATAATGATAAGTTTCACGGTGATTAATGGTGATTAATGGAGATCCACCCTCTGGTAAACATACAAAAAACTATGGAAAATCCTCACTGTTCATAGATAAATCAACTATTTCTATGGTCATGTTCGATGGCTATGTTAAATTGCCAAAGGGTGTGGTGGAGATCGACGTTTGAAACGATGGCTTGAACCAAGGACTACAGGCTGAGGCCCTTCAGTTATAAGTTGGATTTGAAACCCTTAAATACAAGTGTTATATATATATAATCCCCCATAAACCCAGCAGTTAACCAATAACCAATCTATGCGCGTCAACTTGGCTATGGTTTGCCCCACCTTGTATTTGGATATTACATTGCTATGGAACCACATGTGGCTAGTATCTTCTTAGCATAACCATCTTAATAATGTACAATGATGGTTAGTTGTTATTTCATCATGAACAATAGGCCTTTCATGTCAGTATGTGTGCCTCTTTGAAAGGTGGATGTCTGGATGTCCATACCACGAAGACCATGTTTTGACGGTGGCACATATAGAAACCCCAGAAAGAGAACAAACGTCTGAAACCTTCAAAATATGGGGGCAAACATCATAGGCTAGTATAATCATCAATTTATATATCATGGTTAGTAGTTGCAGTTTCCCAATATTTATAGTAGTATCTACCAGTAATATCATACGGGTTTCTGAATAATCCTCAATATATTGGCTAGTATCATCTATTATAATCCCATATAATCATCAATCAGCAGGGTTTTTTGTGCAGCCACTTCTCTAGTGAGAATCCTGGCGTTAACGACTTCTATGTCAGGAAACTGCTCGGGACCTGTGCGGCTATCAAACCTGTAGTTCACCAGCCAATTCTCCTGGACCCAGGACGTGTCAACCGAGCAGATTGAGTGGGACAATCATCATCCGATTCCGGGATAGAAAGGGTAAAATGGTTGGGACTCTTAGTTTTATTTGGAAAAACTCGAAAATTCTGCAGAAAAGAGGATGTTACAAACAGTATATGACGGAGTTGGAACACCTTAGCCACGGGTAACCTCACCTGGCACTGAGGTTCATCTGCAGCTAGTTTTCTCACGAGAATGTGCAGATGGGTTATGGGTTTTCGACCTTTCATGAACAATAAATAACCATAACAAGAAGGCAGGCCGACATAGCCATAAACAATCATGCAACTGACATATACTGACATATCCAACACAACGTACCCGGCAGATTTTACTTCAAAGCAGAGCATACTTTGCCCAGACAATATCCTCTGGTAATCTAACAGTTCGCTATGGAGAAAGCACCATGTTCAATACGTCAAACATCTAGTTTCACGGGCCCTTTTGCAAACTGTCAGGTTACCGGAGGGTAGTAACCAATATTCCATCAATATGCCGTGAACATTTCATGATGTGTATATATATGTGTGTGTGTGTGCGTGTGTTTATGTATAATTATTATTCATTTATTCATTTATTCATTTATTCATTTATTCATTTATTAATTTATTCATCTGTTTATTATATATCCAAGATTATCATCCCCATTGAAGCCCATTGAATCCTCATAAAATCCACATATCCCTGCACTCTCCGGTCCAGACCATTCTCAATGCTGATGCGACCAACAAAGAACCAGAAGCAGCCCAGCACCTCACGAGATGTGTGTCTAATGGGGTATGCCCCCGAATTGTTAAATAATAGGATGATTAAGGGATGATTAAGGGATGATTAAGCGGATGATTAATTGCTGGGCTTTATGCTTATTGGTTAATGATAATAACCAATAACCCCAATCACCAATAATCATAGTTAACCAATAGTTAATAGCCAATTAAATAGGGAGGAAATGATGGAATTGATGAGTTAAATATTGGTGAAATGATGAACCGGATGGAATGGGGTACCTTATTTTCAGATTGTCCATGAAGACAGAAGTCCATCGATTCGTTTTCGTAAGAAAAACTACAGTTGAAACCATCGTTTCTCCTGATTTGTTTAGGGGTATTCCTGAAAACGTTCCTATCATATCATCCGATTCTGGGAATAATAAGGCCCGGTGAAGAGGTTATTTTGGACTTATGAAATGGTTCTTGGGGATGATACCTTTGCGGGGTGCCAAACGTATCATTTTCCTCCATAAACGCAACCCTTTAGGACTACGGTGAATTCGAGTTTTAAGACCCGGAAGATGGGACTATGTGCGGAACCATGGTTACTGGGTTACTGGGTGGTGCACCCTACTTTCAAGTTGGCTGAAAAGCTCCATTTCCCCCTGATAAGCCTAAAGCCTAAGATAGTTCGAACATGTGAAAACCTAGTTAGCTAAGGGTAGTTCGCACCATCTTGTATGGATCCATCTAAGGACATCTTTTGTTGGCATCTAAAACTAAGCCCACCTCTCCAAAATATGGATGCCGACGTGGCCGACCTGACATCATATTGCAGTCATGGAATGTCATGGAGGCATCCATACGCCGATGCTTCATTCCAAAATCTGGAGAAATACACACACCAAAATTGGCTCCAAAAAACATCCTACAACGACCCCAACCAAAAATTTATCTCCGGAAAATTCATGAAAATTCTCACCCAAAAAACTCGTTGAAACCCCAAAATTCTCGGCATCCCAAGGCCATCCCAAGGCCATCCCAAGGCCAAAGCCACGTGGACGCTGAAGAGGATCACCAGCAAGGCCTTGACCACGGCCATGACCAGCTGAAAGGCCTGCGTCCGTTCGTAGCCGATGGCATCTTGCGCCGAGGTGGCCATGGGTTGGGCGGGGTCATGACCATGTGGACAAAAACATTTTAAATCTGAAAATATGAATATACATATATATATATATATATGATCGAGAGACCTTTAGGTACCATTTTGTTCCGGTTAATTATGATATTTTTTAAAGCTTTTTGGAAAATTGAGAGGATTTAAAGAATTAAATGGTTTAATCCTTTTAATCCTTCTAATCCTCCAGAGCCTTTGGGGGATTAAACGGATTAAAAGGATTAAATCACTTAATCCTTTTAATCCTTTTAATCCTCCAAAGCCTCTGGAGGATTAAAAGGATTAAAAGGATTAAATGCTTGGTCCTCACATTGGGGTTCTGGGGGCTCTGGAGGATTAAAAGGATTAAAAGGATTAAAAGGATTAAATCATTTAATCCAATGCTTGGGCCTTAGACTCCAGATCTCTGGGGGATTAAAAGGATTGAAAGGATTAAAAGGATTAAAAGGATTAAATGATTTAATCCTTTTAGTCCTTTTAATCCTCCAAAGCCTCTGGAGGATTAAAAGGATTAAAAGGATTAAATGCTTGGTCCTCACATTGGGGTTCTGGGGGCTCTGGAGGATTAAAAGGATTAAAAGGATTAAAAGGATTAAATCATTTAATCCAATGCTTGGGCCTTAGACTCCAGATCTCTGGGGGATTAAAAGGATTAAAAGGATTAAAAGGATTAAAAGGATTAAATGATTAAATCCTTTTAATCCTTTTAATCCTCCAGAGCCTTTGGGGGATTAAATGGATTAAAAGGATTAAATGATTTAATCCTTTTAATCCTTTTAATCCCAGAGCCTTTGGGGGATTAAAAGGATTAAAAGGATTAAATCATTTAATCCTTTTAATCCCTTTAATCCTTTTAATCCTTTTAATCCAGAGCCCCCAGAACCCCAATGTGAGGACCAAGCATTTAATCCTTTTAATCCTTTTAGTCCTCCAGAGGCTTTGGAGGATTAAAAGGATTAAAAGAATTAAATCATTTAATCCTTTTAATCCAATCCTCCAGAGCCTTATTAAATGGATTAAAAGGATTAAATGATTTAATCCTTTTAATCCTTTTAATCCTCCAGAGCCTTTGGGGGATTAAAAGGATTAAAAGGATTAAATCCTTTAATCCTTTTAATCCTCCAGAGCCCCCAGAACCCCAATGTGAGGACCAAGCATTTAATCCTTTTAATCCTTTTAATCCTCCAGAGGCTTTGGAGGATTAAAAGGATTAAAAGGATTAAATCATTAAATCCAATGCTTGGGCCTTAGACTCCAGATCTCTGCGGGAGTAAAAGGACTAAAAGGATTAAAAGGATTAAATGATTTAATCCTTTTAATCCTCCAGAGCCTTTGGGGGATTAAACGGTCATTTAATCCTTTTAATCCTTTTAATCCTCCAGAGCTTTTGGGGGATTAAAAGGATTAAAAGGATTAAATCATTTAATCCTTTTGATCCCTTTAATCCTTTTAATCCTTTTAATCCTCCAGAGTCCCCAGAACCCCAATGTGAGGACCAAGCATTTAATCCTTTTAATCCTTTTAGTCCTCCAGAGGCTTTGGAGGATTAAATGGATTAAAAGGATTAAATAATTTAATCCTTTTAATCCTTTTAATCCTCCAGAGCTTTTGGGGGATTAAAAGGATTAAAAGTATTAAATCATTTAATCCTTTTAATCCCTTTAATCCTTTTAATCCTTTTAATCCTCCAGAGTCCCCAGAACCCCAATGTGAGGACCAAGCATTTAATCCTTTTAATCCTTTTAGTCCTCCAGAGGCTTTGGAGGATTAAATGGATTAAAAGGATTAAATAATTTAATCCTTTTAATCCTTTTAATCCTCCAGAGCCTTTGGGGGATTAAAGAAAGGGAATAAAGTGGATTTAAAGGAATAAAAAAGGAAAATTAAATGATTAAAAAAAAAAAAAAGAAAAAAAAAAAAAAAAAACAAAAACAAAAAAATTTAATCCTTTTAATCCTTTTAATCCTCCAGAGCTTTTGGGGGATTAAAAGGATTAAAAGTATTAAATCATTTAATCCTTTTATTCCCTTTAATCCTTTTAATCCTTTTAATCCTTTTAATCCTTTTAATCCTCCAGGGGGTCCGGAATTCCCGGTCCAAGCCCTTGAGAAATATATTTAAATCCATTTAATCCTTTTAATCCTCCAGAGCCCTTTGGGGATTAAAAGGATTAAACGGATTAAATGATTTAATCCTTTTAATCCTTTTAATCCTTTAATCCTTTTAATCCTTTAATCTCGGGATCGGGGGGTTTGGAGGATTAAAAGGATTAAACGGATTAAAGGATTAAAAGGAATTATATAAAGAATTAAAAGTATTTTAAGAATTAAGTGCGGGGCTTTCTCGGGATTCGGGGAGTTTGGAGGATTACATGATTAAAATGATAAAAGGATAAAGGATTAAAGGATAAATGATTTAATCCTTTTAATCCTTTTAATCCTCCAGAGCCTTTTGGTAGGTTCAACAGGGTTCCGGATAAAGTTCCGGGAGGCTTTGGTGCAGATACAGGGCAGGCTCAACAGGGCTCCGGGTTTCTGGAGAAGGTTCCGGGAGGCTTTGGTGCAGAGCCAGGTTAGGTTCAACAGGGTTCTGGTGAAGGTTCCGGAGAAGGTTCCGGGAGGCTTTGGTGCAGAGTGAGGTGAAGTTCAACAGGATTTGTGGCCATTTAACTCACGGAAACCCAGCTGAAGTGTTTCCAGCGGTTGGCTTTGCAGCAGGCTTCAGAAAGATTAGTAAAAATAAAACGTTGCGGCTGTTGTGCATACCACCGAAGCTTGTTTTCCAAAGACATTTGCTGTGGATGGAAATTGCATGTCCCTTCAAAGTTGCAAGAATGCAGGGGTGAGGCATGTCACCCTGCCTTTGGCAGCATTGTAAGTGACTGCACACGAGATTTCTTGTAAAGAAGCAAGACCCGGATTTCTGGGCACCGCCACTGTCCATTTGGAAACATTGTGTTTGTTTGAAATTTCCTGGAACAAATATTTTTCGACAAGGGCCACATCACCACATGGGACTTTCAAAAAGCAATGCTCTTGAGCTGCATTGAAAGCTGGTGAGCCTCCATCCACATTGTGCAAACAGACAACATCACCAGAAGTAATTGTTGCACCAGAAAAAAGTTTACAACAAGAGCTCTGCATGCAAGGCATTCCCACAGGAACCACTCCAGCATTGCATAGAAATATAGGAATGCCGTCATCTTCTTTGTGGGGCCCCCTTTGCATTTTGTAGGCAGGTGCCTTCTCTAACAATCTTGACTCTTCACCCAATGTACAGATGTGCTCTGCAATGACAGACTTCATCAAAGAAGTTTCCCAATGGGTAGTGTTGCACAAGACATTCCCATGTTTTCTAATGCCTTTGTGCTTCCTTTCCATGGTCCAGAATGCAGGTAATTGGCCATGCCTCTGGAGACTTTGACTATAATATGAAGTGACCAGTGCATCTTTGGCTCGAATTCTTCAGACCAGTCAGCTGCAACAGTTGCCTCCAATGCTGCTTCAACAAATGAAAGCAATTGCTTGTGGTCAGGCTTTTCCAAAGCAGGGATGGATAGGCAATAATCCAAAACTTTGCACCAAGCCAAAGAGCAAGTTGGCCCCAGAAGACAAATGCCATTGGCAAGCAGCAAATTTGGACATAGTGTGCCAGCACCTGGTACAGACCCAGAATCTCTGAGGATGAGCATTTGAATTTCCCAGCTTTTTTGTGGCCTTCCACTGCTTTGGGCAGAAATAACCTTTGCAAATTGCATTTGTGAATGGCAGGCTGGGCCCAAAGTTGCACAAAGCCATGTGCCTTCCAAATCTCAGCCACACCACTGGAAGCAAGCGGTTGGATCCACAAAAAAAAATACCCAGTTCAGCACACCATTTGGGCAGAGCCCATGCATATAATCATGCATGTATTGGGTGATTGGTCTCAGAAGGTTCTGGGACTTCAGCTTGTCACTCAGCAAGAGTGAATGCTGGGAATAATCAACCCCAGAAGCCTGGCTCCACCTTCTGAACTCGGTTTTGTTGCAAGCTGTGCTCCTCTCTTGCATCCTTGCCCACGAGGACAGGATTTCTTGGTCTGTTGCAATATCCAACAGAGAGTTTCAGTCTTTTAGGACCTCCCTGTAAAAGTACCCCGGAATGAGGATGAGCATATTTGTTGTCAAACGTGTGCTCCAGGATCAACCTGAAACATTGGCCAATGCTGGCTGCCAGCTGTGAGACTTGCTTACTCCTCTCCCCAAGCAATGTCAACCAACTTTCAGAATTTGACAGCGTGGCCCCAAACTGGGCAGATGAACAGTAAATTGCCCATGTATTCCTAGAATTCCCTGCCAATTGGTTTCCAGGGTGCAGTTCATCTACATAAAGAATGCAAGACCAAGGGTTGTTGAAGGAACTAGGGTTGTTGTCATGTACCTTGTCCAAATAATCCGCAAAGCAGCCACCAGCTGCATAAGCACCAGCCAAATAGCTAAAGATGTTGGCAAATGCCAATTCCACATGGTCCTCTTCCAAAATCATAGCTGAAGGCCAGCAATGACCTGCTCAACAAACTCTCTGATTTGTTTCCTTTTGTGGCTGGCAGGAATGCTTTCCTGGGCTGCCAAAGTCAATATGGCTTCCAGGGCTGACTGGCTGCAAAATGGGATTCTCTGTCTAAAACTTTGCAATTTTGGAAAGTCTGGCATGGCTGGCTGGAAGCATTTCTTGAGACAATGTTGGAGTATGACTGTGTGAAAGGCAAAAACTAGTGTTCCATGGCCTGCTGTGGAACCTGCTGCTAACATGGCCTCCAAACATGTCATTTGCAGATTTGGCACACATTGCCTTGGGCCAGGCCTTGCTTCATGCAGTAGCCTTGCAGACAGCTGTGCCCACAATGCTGTACTACTGATTCAAACAAAAAAGCCCTTGCAGGCAAACGGATTTCAAATGATAGCTCTTGAAGCCAAAACTGAAAAACAACAAGCAGAACCAAGGGCA